AAAACCAAGCATGAGAAATTTCAGCATAAAGGAATTTTCTTACGGATGTTCATAGAGGAGGCTAAAAAGACTCATTTCAGCTCAGTGCAGTGACCCAGTAATATGCTGCAATTTCTTTTCTTTTTTTGTGCAAAATTCAACAGAATTTCGGTTAATTTGGTGGCTCTCCCAAATGCCTTTTGCTTCGTAAAGTGATACAACAATGAGTGTGTTGAGAGGCTTCGATTCCTCTGGGCAGATGAGATTCAGTATTTTAGTATGAGTGTGTCTTATCTGCTCCTTCCTAAATTGCGCCCATAGTTTGGAAGAGGATATTAAACATTCCTATGTTTTCAGCCTGTTTCTGAATCTTCATCCTGGTATTTGGTTGAACAAATAAGATTTTTTTTCTTCACAGCTGCAGAAGATTTTTCGATTTGAAAATCTGACATGAGGTGATTGGTCAGAAGCTGGTGCTGTGTGAGTAATTCAGGTGGCTGCGAGGCCTGAGCGGTGCGTCCTCTTTGAATATTTCATTGGACTCAGAAACGGGTTTCATGTTTTCAGTTCGTAAGAAAAATCCCAACCCTCTGTGCTGTGTTCAACACCCTTCAAGAATGGAGCCTAAAATGATAGAGGAGCTCTTGCTTTAGTTCTGGGATGCATTGCCAGGATAAAACATGTGATAAAACATGGATTTTATATCACACCGATCTTCCAGAGAGGGAAGGTGAGCTGTGGAATTCCTGCTCACTCCTCTGGGAATGACTCCAAGGGTGCTGGAGCTGGAGGGTCAGTAAATGGGGATGTTTTACCCCAAAACCATGGTGTCTGCCCCGAGCCCTGGACACCTCCATGGCAACTGAAGACCCATCCGTGGGGGAGGAGGAATTCCATCTGCAAACCTCCTCTGTAGGCACCCGGCAACTGGATCCATAACATCTGTTTCTCCAAACTGTGCAGAGCACTGCCATATTACTTTTTTCCAGCATTCCTCTAACGTGTAGTATTTCTTTGTATGCCAAGTATGTTGAGGCCATAAATACTTTAACATGCAGAAGATGTGGAGGGAGGGAAGTACGTCCTTTTGGATGCCTTTCACCTTCCCTTCCCCTTCCCTTCCAGCAGGGCCTGGGTCCTCTTACCTGCCGGAGTGTGGGACTTGGGACAAGGGCCTGGAGTGACAGGACAAGGGGGAATGGCTTCCCACTGCCAGAGGGCAGGGTTAGGTGGGGTATTGGGTAGGAATTCTTCCCTGTGAGGGTGGTGAGGCCCTGGCACGAACTGAAGAGGAGCATCGTAGGCACACTCTACAAATTCAGAGGCTTCTAGAATATTTTTGAAAAGAAACCCAGAGAATCAGTTGATTCTTGTCAAAATATGGATCCCATGAGGCACGAGAAATACTATCCACCCAAGGAATTGAGGGTATAACCCTGGAGCTACACAAACTTAGGAGCCGTGTCCGCCCACTATGGCTCAGTTTTGGGGGAGGCAGGCAAAGGGAAATATGCTGTGGGTGAAGCTTTTCTCTTTGCTTTTCTTCCAATAAATCAACCAGTGTTCGGTGCGACTCCAAAAGCTTTTCTCCTTTGGACCGGGAAGCGGAGCAGCAGGTAGGTGTGACGCAGGTTCTGCACAGTCACCGGCCTGAACCCACCTTAAGCCAACAGAGAGGGTGAAAGGTAGCAGTGTTTTGGGGCTGAATCCGTGTTTTCAGACGAGGCAGCACCTCTTTTATAAAAGCATGTTTCTCTGGACTCCTTAAGAAGTTTAGACTGGAGGGCTGTCTCCAGGACCTGCCCCCTCCCCATTCCACGGCCCAGGTGTTTGTCTTGGCAGGAGGCAGTGTCTGCTTGGCCGGGGCTGGGATATTAAACTGAGGGAACACAGAGCTCTTGATGCTTTTCAATAGGGCTTCTATTTAGTAGGGGGCAGGATAGAGCTGTCAGCTACCTGTGATTGTCCAGCGGGGAAAAAGGGAGGGATGAGGAGTGGAGGAAGAGCCCTGGAAATGTTTTCCGATTCCATCGACAGAATGGTGAGAAGGAAGCGTTTTCCTGGAGGCACAGCCTTGTGTTGGTTTGACCGCTGAGCTCTTCGCTGCAGTCCTGGTGTTGGTGTTGGGAAATCAAGGATGATGCTGGCTGGAATGACGTGGGATGGCACACGGAACTTCCTGAGCTGAACTTTCCGTGTGCGGAGACCCTTGTTCGAGATTTCACTACGAGCTGCACGGTTGATGTGCAGCCCAGAGTGGGAACTGGTTCCCGTGTCCTGGCTCCGAGAGGGGAGTGGGGTAGTGCTGATATTCCATATATATTTCAGATACACATTTCTGCTTTTAATTTTTAAGGTGTTCAGGGTTTAATTTTCGTAGAATGGAAATTTAGTTGGAATGGCCTTAAGCTCAGGGAGGGAAGGTTTAGATTAGATGTTGGGAAGAAATTGTTTACTCTAAGAGTGATGAGGCCCTGGCTCTGGTTGCCCAGAGAAGCTGTGGCTGCCCATCCCTGGAAGTGTCCCAGGCCAGGTTGGACGGGGCTTGGAGCAACCTGGGTTAGTGGAAGGTGTCCCTGCCCATGGCAGGGGGGTGTAACAAGATGGGTCTTCAGCATTCCTTCTAACCCTGACTCTTTCACATGTGCCTGCTTCGTGTGTGCTCTGGTGAGAGCTGTGCTCTTCCCATGATTCCCTTCCAGGCAGAATCCAACAGCACAGCCTGGCTTTATTACTCCATATTTGCACTTCTGTGTGACTGAAGGGTCCCAAGTTGGAACTTCCTTCTAGAGGGAAGGGGATTTTGGCATCCTCAGATCCCTGTGCTTATTCCTGATTTTTTCTTGCTCCTTTCTTGCCATGGATGACCAGTGCAGCCCAGCTTCCTACAGACAGCCTCCTGCTGCTGAGCAAACTCAGCCTGCTTATTAATCTGCTTCCACCTTGTTGACAGCCTGCTCTGCTTGGACATGAATGTAGAGCCTTGAACGTGATGTTAAACTTCAATTTTTTAAGCTCCTCATCTGCCCTGTTTCAAATCTTGCCAGCCAAGACCCAGCACGTTTGCACATTACTGTGTGGGACAGAAGGGGTGCGGATCCTGAGACAAAGAAAAGGTGCCTGCAATACAAATGAAGATGCAGGAAAGCTCTGTGGATCTTGAATTTCCAGGAGAAGAATGAAATTGGCAAATATTTCCATATTGGGTTTCTGATTTGCTTAAAGCAGCTTTACAGTTCAAGTTCTCTCGCTGTTCAGAGCTGGCTTAGGAGAAATAGCTGCTAATTAACACCTCAGTTCCCCAGTGGATCACATCAGTGTTTGAAAAACTATTTCTTTGTGGCACAAAGGCACTCAGCACAATTAAAAACATAATTTATGGCATTATCTTCTCTGTGGGAGATCCTGTGTCTTAAAAGAACACCAGGTGTTCAGAATACAGATGCCAGCAGAATTTGGGATGGAGACTGGGAGCAGAACCCAAGGCCTTTCCTACTCTCAGGTAACACTCAGGTAACATCAGTTTTAGCAGCACTTGATAATGGCCAACAGTGTGACTGCTGAACAAACCCTTTCACTTCCTGACACTCAGGGTGGCCTTTCTGAAACTCACCTGGGAATTAACTGCCTCTCCCTTACTGCAAACCACTACAAACAGGGTGTTTGACTTCCTAAAATACTTCTGGAAATCCCACCCCAATGTGTAACACCAAAGTTAAATGTGGCCTTTAATGGCCACTCCACAGCTCTCCATTGTGCTCCCTGAATGAAGGGCTCTTTCCTCTCTTCGAGCAACCACCCCATGCATATTTATAGGGAATCATGTTCCCCCTTAAATGCTGTTGATTTTGGCTGGGGAAGTGATTCCTTAGTGTAACCTGCCCTTGTAGGTTATTTTCTCAAGGCTTTATATTGTTGCTAATTCCCTTATTCTTGTCTGTGTCTTTTGCATGGGAGAAAACCCCAACTATATGCGTTTTCTCAGGTTTTGTTTTATCCATGGACTGTCCAGTAAAGGATGCAAGGCTTAGTGTCCTCTGGGAAGTCCTCCTAGGTGGGCTGTCTGGGCCAGGGCTGGGTTTGGCCTTGCTCCCAGTTACCTTTTATTATGAACTCCAGCAGCTCTTGCTCCTGCATCGCTTTAATTCCACAGAATCCCCTGAGTTTGCTCCTGGATCAAGAAGGACGGAAAGAGATGCAGGGATGAAATGTTAATGTTCAGGAGTCATTTAAAGACAAACATAGATGTTGGGGAGCAAGGTGGATGCACATTGGGTGCTGACTGGACCTTGGGCAGGTTTTTTTTCTGGGTTCTCTCCTGGGCGAAGAGAGTTTATAGGAAAGCCAGGAAGTTAATCCACTTCCCCAAGCCTCAGGGCTGAGGTGGTTCTGGGAACAGGCAGGTTTATTCCAGCCCCTGTGCCCCAAAGGCTGCTTTTGGATTTTGGTGGTCCTGTTGTCTTCCCATTTTCCCAGAATACAGAGGACAGCTCCAGAGAACTCCACAGCAGCACAGATTCCACCCTGCTTCCTTCAGCGGGTGGAAATTCTGAACGCCCTTAATTTAGAAGAAAAAAGCAGTAAAATTAATAGCATTCCAAGATTGCAGACTGTGCTTTCCTGGATTGCTCCATCAATGTGTTTTTGTGGAAAAAAATTAAAAAATTTCCACTACATAGTTCTTTCTTGAAAATCCACCACAGCCTTTTCTCCAAGGGAGCCTTGGAAAGTACGTGCTCCGAGCACCTGCCTGGGGGGAAGGAAACGCTTGGTTGGCAGTACAGTTTACAGGGAAGATTCACTTAAAAATGCAGTACCTGCTTCTGCCCCTCTCTCTCCCTTCATTCACTTGGAAAATTTCAAGCTCTTTTTATTGATGAAATTTGGGGCAGAGGAAAAAGAAATCTGTTGGTTACAGTAATATTCCAAGCGTTTTATACTCTGCACCCCCTTGATATTTGCTTGTCAAACCTCTTTAGGCTCTCCAGTGACATGGACACGCTTTCTCTCTTTCTCACCAGGCTGGAATGATAAGAACTGATGAGGATGAATACTTCATTGAGCCCTTGGAAAGAGGAAAGCAAATGGAAGAGGAGAAGGGAAGGATCCACATGGTGTACCGGCGGTCGGCGGTAGCGCAGCATCCGCCTGACGTGCTCCCCGATGTCCACACAGAAGGTACGGTACCCTGTGGGGGTTCTTTGCAGATCTGTTCCGGGTGACTCCAGCCTATGGAAGCTTTGGAAAGAGGCCACACAACTCCTGTTTAAAGTTTGGGTCCTGTTTGTTTCCGAGTAACAGTGAAGTTGTGCCAATTGACTGTTTTCCTCCTCCTACTGGTTGCAATTAAGGCGGTCTGAAGGCACTTGTGTGGGGCGGATGTATTTTGTCACATCCGAGGATTTCCCTCTGCCTTGAAGATAATGCGGTTGGTCCATCTGAGAGTAATTATCGTGTCTGAGAATAATTATGGTGTAGTTTAATCCGTTTGCTTGTATGTTTTTTTTAATTTTGCACAAACCCTTACAAGCCAAGGCGTTGCATTGGGGGGTGCTGAGGATTTTAAGCCTCTGGGCCGAGGATGAAAGAGCAGCTCCGCTCCCTGTCAGCGCTCTGCCTGTTTTTCAGCATCTCTCAGCTTCTCAAATTCCTGTTCATATGTTGTGTTCGCATGTTGATGGAACTTGAAAGGGTTTGGGAAATAAAGAACAATAACATGCAACACACAGAACTAGAGCTACTTGGCTTTTGGTGCCCCAGCAAGGTTATTCCAATTTAGCTCATGCATCTGGGGGGGTCTAGCCCAGAGAAGAGGAGGTTCAGGGAGACCTTCTCAGAAAGGAAGTCAAAATTCCCTGAATGGACATTGGAGCCGGGTGGGATTCGGTCTCTTCTCCCAGGTAACAGGTATAGAGGAACTGGCCTCAAGTTGTGTCAGGGGAGGTTTAGGATGGATATTAGGAAAAATTTCTTCGTGGATTGCACTTCCCAGAGCAGCGGTGGAGTCACTGTCCCTGGAGGGATTTAAAAGTCACGAAGGTGTGGTACTTGGGGACATGGTTTAGTGGTACCCTTGCCATTGCTGGGGGAACATTTGGACTCAGTGATGTTGGAGGGCTTTTCCAACCGAAACGATTCCATGACCAAGGTTATAGCAAGCTGCCCAAGCCTGTGGAGCCTGAGGAAATGTTTGCAGCGGTGGAGTTGTCAGCGGCATATCGATGCCATGGACATCTTCCTCGTTCTTCTCTGGCTCTGCTCCCACCTCTGTGCCCGGGCCGGAGGCAGTGATGCAGAGAATGGTCTGCTGGTGGTTTGGGAGTTCAGCCAGCACAGACAAAAATCCAAGTTCTCAGCAACAGATGACAGATGACTCAACAAAACAGTCATTAAGATAAAAAAGTACTTAAAGCTGTCGTTGTCAGTGAAGTGGTTGCAAAAGCTGGGAGATGCTGTGTGAAAGCCTTTCCTCCACGGTGACACAGGACACACTGTGGCCTATTCTCCCTACAAAAAGCCAGTTTCCTAAGAGGAAAGCTTCCAGCTCCAGCTATGTGGAAGAGCTTTCAGTCTGACAGGACATCTGGAATTCCTGCAGGATATTATAGCATTTGGGAATTGGTTGGACATTGTTCAAACAGTGGGATGGAGTGAGTGTAGGAGTTTTAAGTGGAAAAGCTGCCATCCTGAGAGCAAGGTTTTAGCTGTGATCACAGTGCAAGGGACATGAATTGGTTCATATACTGTGTTCTCATGGAAGTCAGCACACTTATATCTATCCTTGTCTATTTATGGCTGCTTTTTGGGGTGAAGTGTCAGTGAGCTTTCTTAGCTGGGAATCAGAAATCTGGGGTTCTGGGGAAGATACTGGGATACCTTGAACTACTGGACAGTGTGGGTTCAGCCTTCACCCCAAAGCAGCACCCTGTGCTGATTCCTGCCTATGGTATCCATGTCTCTGGATAGCCTCTTTAGGAAATGACAGCAGCATATTGCATGTATTGGTTTCATCATTTGCTTTGTGTAGAGATTGGTTTCTTTAGAAGTGCCTTATATGAGACAGTCCAGAAATCAGACTGAAAATCCTGCCCCATTCCTGTGGGGAATTGTTCTCTGTGTGTGTGCACATCCAACTCAGGCTTCTTAAAGGACCCCTTCATTAATTATTGCCTTTTTATACCTCACTCTTTTCAATCATTCTGGTGTGAATAGGATCTCCTGCATATAAATGGCCCTGACTACTTGGGGGTTGTTTTGATATCAGGGAGAAGTGGATAGTTTTATAGCTTTTATGCTTATAAAATGCCTCTCCTCTCAGTCTGTGATATCAGGGAAATGTGGATAATTTTCCATATTATGACAGACTGGTGGCAGGATTGACTATTTATATGTCATGGGTAAACTGTCTGATTATTCAGAGGGTCTTATTTGACTGTATTCCTTGGAATCTGATCTCTCTTCTGCCAAGTGGGGCAGTGCAGGGAGGCAGTGGGTCTTGACCACTGATTGTTCAAATCATTTTATAAACCCCAAGTCTTTCTTGGTCCCTGTGACCTCCATCACACAGGGTGGGTCTGTTTGCTGGTTTGAAGTGCTGAGCTCAGGTTGGTTCCTCTGGACAGAGGAAGCTCTTCCTCCTCTGCGGGATGGAAGCCAAGGCCTCCCCTGGGAAATCCCAGCTATTGGAAAAACTCTGAAATGTGGTAGGATGAGACACTGGACATTTGTTTTTAAACATCTGGGATGAGCATCTGGTTAGGTCTGGTCTGGGAATCCTGTCCCAGAGCAGGACAATGTCTAGAGTTCTCCATGGGTGTAAATACACCCGCCAGTCTCCTGACAGCTTTTCCATGTCGGATTGCCCTGGGATGACACCTGTAAGCTCGACTTCCCCAGTCTTTTAAGTCTTGATCCTAAAGACACCGAACATCTGTGCTTCTCATTTGAGTTGAGTACTGCAGGTACTCCTGGTCAGTGTTCATGTTGTGAGTGTTATTCCCAAATAATGTACATTAAAGCAAAAAATAGTTACTCTTAAGGGCAAAAAGAAATGAAGATCAAAGACTCCATGTCTGAGAGTCAGAGAGCAAGCAAGCTATGCAGACAGAAAAAAATATAACAATGTGTGAGGCTGTCATGTTAAAACATTATTTAAATAAATCTTTAGGATTTTCTCACCAAAACAGCTTTTCATTTAGGAATGGAAAGACATTCTCTCAGGAAAAGCCTGATTTTGGGAGGATTTGAAAGAACAACAATGATATCATTCTGTCTGAGCAGGATGAAAAGAAGCTGCTCTTTGTTAATAAGCTGAGAAACATCACCAAGATGTGTGATCATTAACCTTATTCCTTGAAAGCATCCAAGAAACAACAGAAACAGGCCAAGGACTGTGGAATTTACAATCAGATTTGCACCCAGGAGGCCTTCTGTGCAAGTTCTACTGAGTCAGACTCAGGAGTGTGGTAAAATAAAACCCAAATTGTATTTCAGAAACATAAAAGCCTGATCCAAGTCCTCTGGAGTCGGTGGGAAGACTCAGGTTGATGTCAGTGGGATGACGAGGCGGGGTTTGGATCATATTCTGTTCCAGCTGATCACTGAGAATTCGATTTATCTTTCTTCCTGTTCATTCTTCTGTGATTTTTTCCATGCACTTTCTTTTCCTGTGGTAGAATGATGACAACCAACCTTGAGTGTGGAGGTTACACAGCGTGGTAAATGTACTCACAGCTTTCCTGTTTCATCCTCCTCTTCCCATCACAGTATTTTTTAAATGACAACCTAGTCACCCAGAGAGCACTTGAGATGAAAGTATTTTTGTAATTACCAACTAACAGTGGGAAACAAGGAACAGGAGCCTTTATCTCCCAGCTTCCTTTCAGAACTTTCATTTCCCCCAAAGAACCAAAGTGCTTGTGTGTCCAATGGGGTTGCCATGGCACTGGCTTCGAGCGTCTTTGTCCCAGGTGGGAAACATGTAGGAGGAAGAAATGATTTGGGAATTGCTCCTGGTTGCCTGGGAATGAAACCCTGGAATAGAAGGTAGAAGAATGGGAAGACTATTGCCTGCTCGGGAGACCTCCCTCGGCCCTTCCGTGGGGTTAGTGGTTCTCAGGGATGCCGTCGTGCCGGAGGGTGTCTGAACTCTTTCTCAGCAGAATTTCTCATGACCTGTGTTCTGGTGGAGGATATTTTAGATACTGCCCAGCCCACCACATGAGCCTGTGCAATCAGGAATAACGGGAAAGATGGGAATGATTTCTGTGGGGACTGAGCACACCACATTGTGTAACATCCTCTGTTCAGTCCGGGCATTTCTGTATCATTGCAGAGTCACAGAGTTGTTTGGGTTGGAAGGCACCTCAAAGTTCATCTCGTTTCCCCCCCTGCCATGGGCAGGGACACCTCCCAGGTTGCTCCAAGCCCTGTCCAACCTGGCCTTGGACACTTCCAGGGATGGGGCAGCCACAGCTTCTCTGGGCAACCTGTGCCAGGGCCTCCCCACCCTCACAGGAAAAAATTCCTTCCCAATATCTAATCAAAAGTCTCTCTCCAGCTCTCTTGTAGTCCCCCAAGAAAGGCCCTTCAAATAACTTCTATTGATGGCAGTAACCTAGATTGTCTAAAGACATCCTGCCTCTTATCCAGAGCTGCTGGAGCTTTTGCTTTTAATTTAGCCTTCTTCTATAAAATTGAAACTTAATTGGATTCTCTCAAGTTCTTGATTGAATATTGGTTTGTGGGATGGGTTTTTTAATTCTTTTTTTTCAGGTAACAGTTTGCTTAATCAAGGGAAAAGTAGTCAGCAAAACAGAACAGGAACAGCACAGCACGGTACAAAGGAGAAGGAGCGTTGGTGATGGATGTATTTAGGAAGGAAAAGCAAACCCAGACTTCATAGCTGAGGAAAAGCTTGTAATTTTTTTTTTTTTAAGAAAGAAATTTGAGCAGGAATGGATCAGAAGTGTGAAGTGAGTGATGTGCTGTGTCTGTGTCGGGGAGGTTGCTCTTACGGCTCGATGATGGCACTGGGGACATCCATCTGCTTAAGTCGTCTTCTCTTCTTGGCAATAACAAAGGAAAATGATTCTTAAATAAAACCAAGGATAAAGGCTTCATTCCAACTGCAGGCACCCAATGCCAGAGTAGTAAAACACACAGAAAAATCTGTATGA